TCTGGTCAAGGACGTTTGGGTGTCGGTATCTGTATCCAGGCTGAAAAGCTAAACCTGCAGCCTTATGGCTTCCTCAAGCCAGGGCAACATCCCAGAGGGGAGGAGCGTTGGAGAGAAACGTGAGAGTCGCTCCAGCTCGACAGCAGTCCGACCCCCACCAGATAACAGGTAAGCCAGGCGGAAAGCTGATAGTGGCCGGGCTGCTCTGTAAGCTGATGCTGGGTCTCTGGCCAGCAGGGGCCATCTGCAGAGTGGGCGGCCCTGCGCCGAAGGAGGATACTAGGAAAGGCGCGGGCCAGACCCTGCATCCACCAGCCCCTCTGGCTTCCTGGGGCCTCAGTTTCATCCGGAGACACAGAGGTATTTAGAAAAGGCTCCAAGACCCTGAGTGCCCTCCAAAGCCACACGGGGTGATGAATAACCTGCTGGGTTCTTACCTCCTTGTGTATAACTGTCAGTCGAGGAGAGCCTCCCTTCAAAACCACACTCGCACTCCCATGACAGCCCCCCGGGATGGGTTTGTGGAACTCAGACTGCTGCCTGCAGGTCCCCTTCTTGCCCAGTCACAAGAACATCACGACACTGAGTCAGGAGAATGAAGAAGCAGAACAAGACAGCTATGTCACATTGACACTGGGGAGGAAGTCACCAGTGGTATAGGCCCCTGAATCTCAACCGGGTATCAGCTTTGTCACTGTTGCCTTCTCAGGGACACAGAGAACATGTTTCCATTCCTTGAATCAGATCCACAGAGGGTACTACCACCCTGCAGCTCTCCCCAGACATGGAGTTCCACCTTTTAAGGTGGCAAAGCAATAAGATCCAGTTGGGCTGGGGCCACCCGTATGCACTGACTTGTACTGAAAACAGCCCGGGGATCCACTATGGGTGGAAAACACGACCCCCAGCTTCCCAGAAGAACAGGAGTTAGTTGCAACCCCCAGGGGTCACAGTGGTTTTCCCCTGGCATGGCTGGGTTGCCTCCTGCCTGGTGTGGGACCAGCTGGCGGGATATGGGGAGTAAAGTGAGGTGATGTTAGGAGCTGAGGAAGGGGGGCTGCCTTCCCCAGTATGGCATCCTCCCCAGCTCATAGGTGTGACGGTGACAATGGCAGTCCCTTTTTCCTGTCCCCAGTGTAAATGTTACCATTACCAGTCTCTCAGATTCCAGTAGCTACCCCTGCCATATGCCAGGCACTGGACAGATTTATGTCTTTTAATCCCCCCAATAACACCGTGAGGTTGGTATCATTATAATAACCATTTGGGGCTTAAGGAAGTGGACACTCAGAGAGTGTAGTGACTTGCTCACAGGCCAATAGCTAAGATGTAGAAGTCGGATGTGAAGTCAAATTTCTCTTTTATCAGGCTAAAAATAGACTTGCCATATGACCCAGCAATCCCACTCCTGGGCATATATCCAGAAGGAACCCTAATTCAAAAAGACACCTGCACCCCAATTTCATAGCAGCACTATTTACAATAGCCAAGACATGGAAACAACCTAAATGTCCATCGACAGATGACTGGATAAAGAAGTTGTTGTATATTTATACAGCCATAAAAAATGACAGCATAATGCCATTTGCAGCAACATGGATGTCCATGGAGAATGTCATTCTAAGTGAAGTAAGCCAGAAAGAGAAAGAAAAATACCATATGATATCACTCATATGTGGAATCTAAAAAAAAAGAAGACAAATAAACTTAAATATAAAACAGAAACAGACTCACAGACATAGAATACAAACTTGTGGTTGCCAGCAGGGAGGGGGTTGGGAAGGGACAGACTGGGAGTTGGAGATTTGTAGATACTGAGAGGTATATATAGAATAGATACTGTATAGCACAGGGAGATATATTCAAGATCTTGTAGTAGCTTATGGTGAAAGAGAATATGAAAATGAATATATGTATATTCATGTATGACTGAAGAATTGTGCTGTACACCAGACATTGACACAACATTGTAAACTGACTATAACTCAATAAAAAACCTCTCTTTATCAAAGCTTATACATCCGGCAAACTTTCTTTCCTTTCACCACCCTGCACTGTAGCAGACTCAAGGAAGACAAGGGTCACAGGGTACCCTCTTATCTGTGCCCACCCCTCATTGCCCATGTGACACTGCTGTCATCATTCAGAAAATCCAGGTGCCTTCTGAGCTTTGTCTAGACCCCTTTTTACCTGGGGAGGTCTCAGGGAAAGCAGCTTGATATGGTTTTTGGGGTGTCAGATAAGCCCCTCCTTAAGATATCTGTCCACCATCCCATATTTGGGTCTTTCTCTGATGGTCTCTTTTATTTTTTTATTTAAACAATTTATGTAATTGATGGCCTCTTTTAAAATCCAGATATCCCTAAGAAGGGTAACACATTACAACTCTCAAATCTTGGCTCCATTATTTCTCTACTTTACACTACTATAGACTTTAAATAATGTAAATATCCCACTACACACTTTGGTAGTGAAAAGAAGTGAGAGAGACCAGGGGAAATTGGACTTTGGGAGTCATTGCTTTAATATGAATATACTTCTGATTGAATTCAAACCTTTTTGAGTATACTGGGTGCCAGGAGTTTTGCTAAGGGTTACAGGCATTAGGGGAACACATGAAGAATTGATCTCTATCTGGGAGATTTGACTATGAACTATGCATTAAATAATATCAGAGAATCATTGTTAATTTTATTAGTCAACTATGTAGAAAAAGGTCCTTATTTTTTAGAGATGCTCTTACTAAAATGTGTAGGGTTGACATGTCATAAAGCCTGCAATTTATTTTAAAATATTTCAGCAGGAAAGCAAATGAAGTGAATATGGCAAGATGTTAACAATTGTTAAATTAGATGATGGGTATATGAGATTCATTATATTATTTTCTCTACTTTTCTGTATGTTTGAAAATTTTTCACAGTAAAAAGTTAAAAAGGAAAACAGAGCTTCCCAGTAGCTCAAAATCAAAGTTCTATTGCAAGGCTAACAACTGGATTTTGTAGCAAGCAGAATTCTAAGATGGTCCCATGATTCTTGGCGCTTAGTATACACGCTCTGTATAATTCACTTATGTAGAGTGTGGGCAAAATTTGTGAATGTGATGAGATTTTACTTCCATGACTAGATTTTGTTATACGGTAAAGATGAAAAAATTTGCAGATGTAATTAAGGTCCCTGATCAGTTGATTTTGAACTAATCAAAAGAGAAATTATCATTGGTGGGCCAGACCTAATCAGGTGCTCCCTTTAAAGGAGAGATTACAGGCAGCAACAGACACTCTCTCATTGGCCATGAGGAATTAGAACTGCTATGTTGTAAAAAGGGCCATGTGGCAGGGAACAATGGGTAGCCTTTAGTTGTTCAGGTCCTCAGTCCTACAACCACAGTGAACTGAATTCTTCCAACAACCCTGAATTTGAAAGGACACCTAGAGCCTCAGAGGAGATCACAGACCTGGTTAATACACTGACTGCAGCATTGGGAGACCCTGAGCAGATTCATGCCCAGTCTCCTGACCCATAGAAACCGTGAGATAATAAATATGCATTGTTTTAAGAAAAATAAGCTTGTGATAATATATTATGAAGCAATAGATAAAATAAATCCATATCACCTCACACCAGTCAGAATGGCCATCATTCAGAAGCCCACAAATGATAAATGCTGAAGAGGGTGTGAAGAAAAGGGAAACCTCCTATACTGTGGATAGGAATGTAGTTTGGTGCAGCCATTATGGAAAACAGTATAGAGATCCTCAAAAAACTAAAAATAGACTCACCATATGATCCAGCAATCCCACTCCTGGTCATATATCCAGAGGGAATTCTAACTCTTAAAGATACATGCACTCTAATGTTCACAGCAGCACTATTTACAATAGCCAAGACATGGAAACAACCTAAATGTCCATCGATAGATGACTGGGTAAAGAAGTTGTGGTATATTTATATAATGGACTACTACTCAGTCATAAAAAAGAATAAATATGCTATTTGCAGTAACATGGATGGACCTAGAGATAATCATTCTAAGTGAAGTAAGCCAGAAATAGAAAGAAAAATACCATATACCACTCATACGTGGGATCTAAAAAAAGAAAAAAAGAAGATACTAATGAACTCATCTACAAAACAGAAACAGACTCAGACAAAGAAAACAAATTTACGGTTACCAAAGGGGAAAGGGAAGGGAGAAGGATAAATTAGGAATATGGGATTAACAGATACACATTACTGTAATATATAATAGATAAATAACAAGGATTTATTGTATAGCACATGGAACTATAGTCAATATTCTGTAATAACCTATAGTGGAAAAGAATCTGAAGCTATACACTTGAAACCAACACAATATTGTAAAACAACTATAGTTTAATAAATAAAAAATAAATAATAAAATCTCCCTCTTGGTTAGAGTTCCTGTCAACTCAAGTGGAACCCTATGTGAGTATAATGTAAGCAACATATGACTGGATTGGGTCCCTTGAAGGAAATGTGACTCACTGAATCCTTGAGTTTCACCCATTCTAATTACCCGGCTGATAATCTGTTTCAGACATCGCATTTCCCACCCGCCCCCACCCCAGACACTGTAATAAATGAAAGTTCCAGCACACACACAACATCTTGACTGATGTAAACATTGAGTGGTACTCCCCATCTAGGTGGAGGCATGAAGAAAAGAGGCCCTCTCTTGCATGTTACTTGAAACAAAGTGACTTAGTTACCTCTAACTAGGATAGAGCTGAAGGGAGGAAATAGGAAGATAGAGTAAAAATTAAGAAAAGATCATGAGAAGAGGGTGCCCAGGACGTGAAGGAGGAGATGGAGGGGGAAGCTTGGAGTGGATTTGCATGACGGGCAGGAAGGAGCGTGTTGGGGAAAGGTGTGCAGGGAAGGGAAGGGAAGGGAAGGGAAGGGAAGGGAAGGGAAGGGAAGGCAAGGCAAGGCAAGGGCAGTGGAGGAGAGAGGAGCGGGCATCACCCAGGGACACTCACGGTTGAGCTGCCGCCTCCGGATCCTGTCCCTCCATGGCCTGTTTCTGATCCAGTGCAGTCGCGAGGGTAACACCATGGTCCCAAAGTGAGGATCTAATACCTCCTCATGGCTGGGGAACAAAAAGTCTCACAGCGATACAGGAAGTCAACGACAGACTAAAAATTAAAAAAAAAAAAAAAGCCCTCTTCTCTTTTTTTATATCTGAGGCTTCCGTTGTCTTCTTTTATCTTGTAACTTGCCTTTCCTTTTCTTCCTTTAACTCCCAACTGGCCCGAAGGCAGCTGCCACGCTGGGCTGCCTGGCGGAGCCTGTCCCGGCCTCCTGTGCCATGTTTTATGCATGAAGGTGATGGGGCAGTAATTTATTCACGCTGAGCTGATCACCGGGGCGGTAATTTATTCACGCTGAGCTGATCACCGGGCTCCTGTGTCTTCCCCACGTCAGAGGCTGGGGGAGGGCAGGTGTATCTGTCTGTACGGAAGAATGGCCTGAAATGGGAATCCCTCTCCGCAGGCGGGATTGAAGATCAGCGCTTGGCTGCCAGGAACACAGGCAGGCCTGCTGGAACTCAAATCAGGGCCACGGCTGGCACATTTTAGGCCATGTGATTTATAGCTGCTGGGTCTCTAGCACTGAAGAGAGTGACTGACACTGGGTAGGTGAACAATAAATGTTTGTCGCGTCCATGAGCGGTTCGGAGATAAGCAATATCACGCCTTTATCGAACCTGCTCAATTCACTGTCTTCAAAATGCTTCTTTGAACTTCCTCACCCATTCCATTGTCCACACTTTTCTCTCCATCTAAGATCACAGTCTGTCCTCACCTACCCATTCATGCTTCAAAATCTCATTTTGCAGTAAAGCGTTCCTGAACCCATATTGATGGGGCCTCCTCCACGCACCTGAGCTTCTCACACTCATCAGGCCTGGATGGCCATAACTGGTTAGGGCTTCTGTTTGTTTGCTAGTTTGTTTGAATATGCACGTGGGGCTTTGCTGGCCCAAACAGCGAGTAAGCGTCTTGGCAGGAACTGTTTTCCTCTTCCGAGCTGCCACCTACAGGGGTTTGCACGTGAAATTAGCGGCAGCTTGAGTCTGCCTCCCCTCATCTCCATCGGCCCCTCCTCAAACCACCCTAAATAAATATACCGTCTAACAAGGTACACTGTATCGACTATAATGCAGCCTCCACATGGGACCCCTAGGAGCTGTGCCTGAGAGGGGAAGCTCTATTATCAATTGCTTACTTTGTTCCAAGCTCTTCAATGTGCAATGTCAGATTGCTCCAGACCGCAGTTACTGATCAAAGCCTCAGGAACAGTCTTGCCAGGAGGTTGGAGCTGCAAAGAGTGACACTCGAGTTACCAAGTTTAGCCCAAGATAATCCGTAAGGTTGGTAAAGGCAGAAACCCTGCCCTCTTATTTGTGCCCTTCGTGGTGCCACGAGCAGACTTGGGGGAAAGTGCTAAGACGGGAGTGGGGAGGGTCGAATTGTAATTAGCCAGGCACGTGCTTTAGTCCCTGTGCCTTGTTTTCTTCATCTTAAAATGGAAATAACCTGCAGACCCCATGGGGTTGTCAAGATGAAATGAGATAAAGGTAAAATAACTCTTTAAGGGTTGGCAGAGGATGGGTTTGATCCCCAGGAGCTCAGCCTTCTTGTCCAACGAGCACAATGCCTGGCTGTGAAGAGAGCACACCCCAGAGCCGCAATGCTGGAGTTCAAACTCCTAGAAGCCTGTTTAGTAGCTTCACCACTCTAACATCATCGTACCCCAGTTTCTTGCTCTGTAAAATGGACATAAGAATAAGAGCCGCTGCCTTAGGGTCATGCTGACGATTTAGTGAATTGATCCATGCAAAGGGCTTTGTGTTTAGCTTTGGGGAACTGCTCCATGTTGTCAGTGGCTATTGGTCACTAGTCATGCAGTTTCATGAAAGTTGACAAGTTCCCTGGGTCTCCCTTTCTTTACCTGCAAAATGAGCTGGTATGGGATACATTACATCAAGAGTCCTGGGTTTTAGTTTCCTGTTGTTGCTATAACAAACCATCACACATTTAGTGGCATCACACAACACAAATTTATCTTATGGTTCTGGAGGTCAAAGTCTAAAATGGGTCTAACAGGACTAAAATTGAGTGTCCGCAGGGTTGCATTCCTGGGGACTCTAGGGGAGGATCTGTTCTTCGCCTTGTTTATCCAGATTCTAGAGGCTTCCTTCAACCTATTTCCAGGTTATCTTTCTTAGCCTGAGGGACCACGACCTGGGTTTACACCCAAAGTGGTGACTTGGTAACTGTGGGTCACGTGGGGCTTTGCTGGTCCAGACAGTCGCTGCTGGACCCTGAGCCCTCACTGATGTGCCTACATTCCAAACTTCATTTTCTGAAGGGAAGTGGGGGGAGAGTAGACACCAAGATCAGGACAAAACCTATGGAAGATTTGACTGACTATTGCAACTGGACACAACTCCCTAGAATGACGCACACAGCATAAGAAAGCTGTATATTTGAGGGACCAGAAACGGTTGCTCTAACAATCCTGTCTGGTCTTGACCCCTACAACTGTTAACTGCAACACATTTCTGCTCTCCATGTCACCATAAATCAAATCAGGGAGCCGCCAGCTAAGCAAATTAGAGATGAAGGGAAACTCAGAGAGGCTCCTAGGGTGTCATGGCCACACTCCCTTCCGTCACCTTTCACCATTTGGCTTTTGCAAATCTGTGCCCACAATGAACTTGAATGTGGAGAATGTTATACAAAATGGAGTACCCTTCTTTTTTCTTTTTCTTTCTCAATCAGTATCAGACCTTCTTTCCTCCTCACTAAGCCACACATTTCCTCAAGCTTCTGCTGCATGAGTCACTGCTTTTCAGATGTACATAATTTACAAAAGCAGATGAGAGAGAACAGTGGGCCAGAGGGGGCGGGAAGCACAGTTAGGTCTAAAATGAGAGGCAGCTGAAAAGTTTGTGTTTCCTCTTGTGAATTTAAATACAGATCTTTCCAGTTTACTCCTTACCATGGGGGAGAGACCTGGAGGTGAGGGGGTGACACAAGAAACAGAAGACTCACCATCATCTTTTACTGTCATTTTTTCTGCTCAGATGGGCACTGCTGCAGACCCCTGCCTCATACCATATGGTTCCCTTTCCTGACTCTTCAATTTCATCTTTTCTTTTATCAAGTACACACTCATAAATGCCTGGAATAAATGGTCTGTGGAGTGTCATTCTCCAAAGGAACATTTTCATTTGTGTTAAGTGTAGAACATCAATTTTTATTCTTCTTTGGGCTCGCCTTGCTATTAAATTTTCACAAGTTGCAGAATTTCACGATGAAATGCGGAGATCCTGCCAGGAGTCTTGTGTTACAAAGAATATGGAGAAAAACATAATTATGTGATCCTTTCTGCATTTTTCCCTTCAACTCATTTTCAATAAATGGGAGCAAAATGTTAGATTCAGGAGAAAGAGCACCAGCATGTCTGTTTCTACTTTAAAACTGTCCTGGGGAGAAACAGACCTTCAATTACTCGGTGGAGAATAGAAATTGCTGAACCAAGGCACACTGTGCTCCTTTTAGAAAGAAAGTCACTAAGGGAAACTTGTTATTGATGTAAAATAAAAGCTTATTAAACACCAGGAGGAAATGACAGCATAGCACCTGATTTATTTCTCTCCTGTCACAAACACACCTCAAAAGGACACAGAGTTCAGTTTATTCTTTGGAGAATGGAATGGAACAGAGACAGGTTCTAGTTATGGCTACTGGACCATCGATCTACCTGCGTTGATTGAGTACTTAACAAGAAATAGGCCTTGTGCTGCATGCTTTAAGTAGATATATAATTTTATTTCATTTCCCCCATACTCTTATTAATAAGTTATTAATAATCCCATTTTACAAGTAACAGAGTAAAGGCTAAAGAGTAGTTACTCTAAATACCAATGATCTAAAGCATACAGTACTTTACAGATATGAATTCATATCACTGTCATGCTAAGATAATCCCGTACCCATTTTGCAGATAGTGAAACTGAGGCACAGAAACATATAATAATTTGCTGTGGTCAAACACCTAACAGGTGGCTGAGATGAGGTTTGACTTCAGATAACTTGGCTCTATGTTTAACCACAACCTCCATTAATGCTCCAAATTAAGCAATTAAAAAATACTACAGTGTAACTATGTACTGTGCTCTACATATTCAGTGCTTCTTAAGTTTGACAATACCATTCCATTTTTGAAATATGTCTTAAGCAGCCTTGGCAAAGGTAGTTACTGAATAGTAAAGAATTAGAACATTTGACAAGTATTAGAGGATTATCTTAGACAATATCACATCCAAAAGCCTCATTTTACAGAAAATGAAAATGAGACTCAGAGAGTTTAGGGGACACATCTCAGTTTGTACAGCAAGTTGGTGAATCCCGGCAAACTCTTAACCCACTCCATCCCTGAACCTCAATACCTCCCCTCTGGCTATTCCCACAGTCAGAATCCTGACCAAAATGACCATCATCATCGTCACATGAACTGCCTTGACAACATAACAGGTGTCTTCATGTGCCACTCTTGCTACCCACTCCAATCAATTTGCTTTTTATTGACTTTACAGTTTTGTGTTAATTTCTAGTGTACAGCACAGTTAATTCATTTATCCACATATATATATATGTATTCCTTTTCACAATCTTTTTCATTATAGGCCATTACAAGGTACTGAATATAGTTCCCTGTGCTATACAGTAGGACCCTGTTGTTTATTTATTTCATATTTAGTAGTTAGAGCCATCTTCAGACAATGCAGGTATGAAAATACACTACAACCACTTAAACCCCTTTAGTAATGTAATTACTCTCAAGATAAAAACCCAAATTTCTTAGCCGTACTTCAAAGTGAACTACTCCCACAACAGTGGAGAAGAGACAGGTAGCAAAGATGTTAAACCACTGGAATTGATGATTCATTTACTGGAAGAAGGAGATAAAAGAGCCATCCAGGAGATGACATCAGAAGTCCAGTTTGCAGCACAGAAGGAAGTGCCCAGGCATTGAGTTTAAGCTTCAAAAGGCAGCGACACAGACAGTGTGCAGAAAAACAGACAGAGGAATAACTGAGGGCAGCTGGGTGTGAACTTGTTAACTTAGCCACCCCATGTTTGTCCCAAGAGCCCTCTAAATTTACAATCACTGTGAGACCTCATGGAAGGGTCTTACTTCCTTCTGTGATTAAGGGCCCAGATATTTTAAGTTTGAAAATAATTGATTATGCAAACCATGACTGATGGACATCAGTGGAGCAGAACTGCCTTCATGTGGTGCAGGAGAGACAAGAGCAGCTGAC